GGTTGGGAGCCATGCCAAAAATACCAAAACCCACATGTGAGGTGCCTGAACTAGCGCCCAAAATAGCACCTGTAGCGCCAGAACCAGCGCCCAAAGTAGCGCCTATAGGCGCTTGCACGGGCTGCTGCTGGTGCGCGCAAATGGCGGTGGCGACTAGCGGGGATTTTTTCCCTCCTCCTCCTTCAATTCTTGCAACTTCAAATGCTCCAAGATCACTATCCTCAGCCCTAATTTCGCCACTCCTCATGGCACCAATATAACCTCTCTATTCCACCTCCATGCAAAGCAAAAATGCATCGTGGAGGGAAAGAGTCATCTAGCAAGGAAGTCTCCATCACTTATAACTCAAGGAGCAAATTAATGCACCCTTCTCCAAGTTTCCTTGAACATGGGGCATTGGGGGGTAAATGATGGGTTAAGCCCAAAATGACCCAATCTATGTGCAAAGTCCAAATTTCAATTGAGAAGTCCAACCTCATTTAAAGATCCACCAAACCCAATATAGCCCAAGACCAGTCAGACTCTTTGCTTAGCCACGTCATCAAGGGGTAGAGCATGAGAAGCCTTAGCTGCACTGCCAAAGAAAACGGTCCACCCTCACCATATCCTTGACCATGTCTCATGGAGAGCCTCTCAACCACCTCACCCATTGAGAAGAAGTCGTGAAGCTCCACCGAAATAGTTGCTCAGTTGCTGTAAAATAGCCCCAACCTGTTAGGGGACCACTATAAATTGCACGCCCCACCAACACTTGGGGAGACCACACTGATTACCTGGACATCACACTTTCCCTGAGCATGACTCTCTTCTCTCCCTCAAAGCTTGTACTCTCTGCCCTCCACACCCTTAAATTAATAAAATACCCAGCAACTAGAGCCATTCAAGAGTGGACGTAGGTCGAGTTGACCGAACCACTATAAATCTTGTCTCATCCAATTCTCTCTTTACTTTTACTGCATTTATTATTTACACTTGACAGGTGGTGTGCAAAACCATTTTGTGCATCATTAATATCTCTTTATAACAAATGAAGCAAACTGCATAAAATATACTGTAATATTTTTTCATATATATGATCAAACTATTTGTCGTTGATCACTCATTTAATGAAGTAACCTAGTTGCCATAATCTCTATAGGTTTTTTTTAATTGAAATCTCTATAATTTAAAAAAATGAGTTCGACATGTCAAAAACTTACATAGATGTATTTCTAAAGTATCCAAAGTGTGTCAAAAAATTCATAATTATTTAGGTACGTAGACTATACTAATTGATAGAACAAAAAATGATAGAGTTGACACACTTAAATATACTTCAAATTATTTAAAATATACATAAGTAATATTTAAAAAAGAAAAATTAAGGGTGGGCCTGTGCCCTCATGGTCCTCAAGTAGCTCCTCCCTTGATGGCGATGCTTGTTAAACAAGCCAGGAGGGTGCACCATGATATACAAACCCTTATTCACAAAGTTTTAAAAGTCAGGTATTTTCCAATAAATTCATTCATGTCGGCTAAACCAGGGTACTGACCTTCATATTCTTGGCGAAGCATCATTGAAGCGAGGTAGGTGATAGAACCTGGATCCCGATGGAGGGTTGGTGGGAGATCCAACATTAAAGTGTGGCATGACTTGTAGATTCCTAGTCTTACAACCTTTCAAGTTGTCACTCCAAGAAATACTTTGAGGGAGGAAGCAATGGTGAGTGACCTTACTGATTAGCATACCCGAACGTGGAATGAGCAGCTACTTAAGGAAGTTTTTATGGAACATGAAGCTGAAACGATTATATGTATCCCTTTGAGTATTTCCCCGATTGAGTATAAGTCAATATGGCATTACAATTTGAAGGACACGTTTTCTGTTTGCTGTGCGTATCACCTAACTTATGACAACAAACTTTATAGCTTGGATATAGTAGTCGTTGGGTCCTTGTCAAGCTCGGAGAATAAATGGAATTTTATATGGAATCAAACATTACCAAACAAAATAAAAAAAAATTCTTGGAGATTGTCATTAAATGATCTTCCCGTTAATGTGAACATCAAGCGTCGAACAATTCGAAGTGATGATCTGTGTTGTGTTTGTAAGGAGGAGGCAGAGACTGTAACACATCTTATTAAGGATTATGCTTGGGCGAAGGCGTCTTGGGATAACAGCCCTGTAAAGGACTTCTTGCTACTTGCCTCAAGACAAATATCTTGCTAGTTGCTAGAAATGTCACAAAGACTAACATCTTAGCTATTTTCCCTTTTTTGGTTCATTGTTGGCTGATTTGGAATAACAGGAACATAGTGCTTTTCCAGAATTTGAAGCAAGACCCAACCTCTGTATGTCAAGCTACAGTGGATTTTCTCAAGCAATCTGAGTAAGCGATGCATTCTGGGAACACCACTGCACAACTGAAAGTATCAGTGTGATGGACAGCTTCAAAAGTAGGTTCAATGAAAGTTGATGGGCCCGACCTAAAGCCTAACTTAGATAATGGTTCTAGCCCAGATCAGGCTTAACTCAGATGGAGGGCCTGGCCCAGACAAGCCCTAGTGGGTCTGGCCCAGAAGAGACATAGATCTAGTCAAGCTCACCAAAGCTCCGAGAGCCACGTCATTGTCAAGTCAAAGAGTCAGCAACGCCATTAGAGAGCTTCATCCACACCATCCTAGAGTGAGGAGGTCTACCACGCCATCCTAGAACCTGGTGTTAAGGAGATCTCCACGTCCTCTCAACAACTGCCTCACCTGTTACGAGAATGGCGTCCACTCTACCAAATTAACATTTCTCTTACCGATAAGGAGCCTCAATCTGTTAGGAGACGCTTATAAATTATAAGTCCCGTCTACACATGGGGGGCATCTTTTATATATTGTATCTCACATATCACTCACACTTGAGCACCCAACACTTCTTGAAGTAATAAAACACAACTCTTCATAGTGGAGTAGGTCTCTTTGACTAAACCACTTAAATTGTGGTTTGCTTGTGTTGCCTCTCCTAATTTATTTATTATATTTATTGTTTGATAGTTGGTACATAAAATTAATTTGTGCATCATCAGTTTAGCGTCATCTGTGGGAATGACAAAGTTTTCACCCAATCACTTTTCTCTCTGTTTCTATGGTGATCACCACCAAATCCATGAATCAGCTTGAGGATACTCCATCACATGAGGAGGAGGTCTTGCCTCCGCCAGCTAATCACGTTCCTGACCTGTAGCAAATGTTACTAGCAACGATGTAGCTGCTGGTAAACTAAAACCAGGAGATCCTCCAGTTGATGCTCGCTGGACAAGGAGGTGCACACCCAGGGGAGAACACCCAGGCAGGAGACCACCCCAAGCACCTTGCCTAGGGCGCCAAAGAGGCCCCTAACTGGGCGCCCACAGCCAGGCTGCTTGCTAGGGCGCCCCCTTGCAACACTAGGGAGCCCCTCCTCAATGCCAAGGGGTGGCCCCTCCACCTCATCCACCAGCTCCGTCCTTCCACGCTAGTGACCCTTCTCTCCAAGAAGACAAGGGGGAAAACCAAAGTTTGGACCATGAGAGCCACTTCAATGACCCATCCAAAGGAGTCCCCAATCATTGGGACGAGAAAATCAAGAAAGTGCAGAACCAACTTGGTGACGTCTTCAACGCCATGAAGGTGCAAAGACCGAAAATTGTTGAGTACATCTTTAGATGCACTGACACGCCATTGGTAGCCAATATGACAAATTATCTTCTCCCCCAAAAATTTAAAATGCCAACGGTGGAGGCCTTTGAAGGCACAAAAGACCCGCTAAACCACCTTGACAAGTACAAATCCTCGATGCAGCTACACAATATTCTTAACGAAATCATGTGCAGAGCCTTCTCAACTACCCTAAAGGGATCTGCTCATCAGTGGTTTGCAAAGCTCACATCGACCTCCATAGGCTCCTTCACTGAGTTAAGCAGATCTTTTGTTGTACACTTCATCGGAGGACACCGCCACCAGATGCCTGCCACCCACCTACTTAGCATAAAGCAGGATCATGATGAGATTCTGAGGAGTTACCTTACTTGTTTTAACAACTAGGTCTTTCAGATTAAGGAGCCCGATGATAAGGTCACCACGACCACCTTCCCAGGAGGCCTCCACTCATTAAGTTTCCTCTTCTCAGTAATGAAATCTCCATCAAAGAGCATGTCAGAACTATTGGTGAAACGTCAAAAGTACATGAATGCAGAGGACTTCACCAGGGCTAGGCGAAGTGAGTCCTCACGAGCGGGGGAGAAAAGGAAAGAGAGAGACTGCGGTGACAAGGGGGAAATCTGAAGCAAACGAGCAGGAATGAGAGAGTGCGCGCCAAAGACTGGCTTGGTCCAGCCCTCTTTCTATTTTGGTAACAAAGGAACATTTAATTTAATGAACTCCTCAGTTTTCAGTAAGTCATCTCTGCCTAAGAAGGCATTAATAACTGTGATCCAAAAGCTGGACAGTAACAATAAAAGCTTCTATTAAATACTTTTGAGCTTTAGTATAACAAAGGATTATGTAACTATCGTGATCAAATAAGTATTTTGGTGGAGTAGATAGTTGTTTAACATAGTATCAAAGTAAGAGATTCAAATCTTGTCGCTATCTTAATTATTAAAAAAATTTCCATGTATTAAGCCCAAAATTTAACTTGAACGTGAGGGAAAGTGTTGAGTGGATAGTTGTTTAACAATGAAAATTCTTCCACTAGAAGAACTACACGTGAGGGTGCATGTTAAAATATAAATACGTAAGCTACATCCTCTCCAAAAACTTCTTCCACCATAAGAATTGCACATGAGTCCACATGTTGAAGTATAAATATTTAAATTACACCCTCTCCAACAGCTACTTCTACTATAAGAACTGCACGTGAAGACGTGTGTTGAATTATAAATACTTAAATTATATTCTCTCTAACAACTTCTTTCACTATAAGAACTGTAAATGAAAACGCATGTTGAAATATAAATACTTAAGTTACACTCTCTCCAACAACTTAAAAAGGAGATATTTTTTTAACAATGATAAGTCTTCCACTCTAAGAATAACAACTTTCCGGTAACTTTCCCAAGTAATTTATGAAAATTTCCAAATATGAGTTTTTGACGGTTTAGGTTATGGACCCTGCAACGACAACCATCAATCCCAAATCTTATTAGGCTACAGCCTATTGTTTTTCATGGAATGAACCTAAATATCTCTTTAATGCGATTTGTCACCGCAGCAATAGAGGGTCGTTTATGAGTGTACTGAAAAGTACAACAAATTGCAAGTTGTAACATTTGAACCATTTGTTCCCCAATATTCTCGTTCCTCAGTAGTTTATAATCAAACAAATCAATGATTGGCTTTTGTTGAAACATGGACCGAACAAAGTTGGGCAGATCAACACCGGTATTTCTGGAAAGGGAATCTATTGGAGGCGTACCAGTTAGCAGTTCCAAAAGCAGGACACCAAAGCTGTAAACATCGGCCTTCTGGGAAACTTCCTGGGCATTTGTAACCTCAGGTGCACGGTAACCAGCCATGAGGCTGACATTGTGGTAGGGTGAAACAAGTTGGGCTATGCCAAAATCTGACAGACGGACATCATAATTGTCAGTGAGGAAAATATTGGATGACTTTAAGTTTCCATGGCAAACGTTAGGGCCTCTGGCATGGAGATATTCGATGCCACGGGCAACTCCATAAGCAATGCTACCCCTAACCTCCCAGCTGAGGGGGGTCTTTGCTGCACCTCCATCTCCTATTTAGACAAAAGAGTAGCAATGAGAAAGCTAAACAAGCACATTATTTTGTATTGGTTTATTTGTTCGTGCAATTACTCTTTGTATTGCACCTGCATCCTGATGTGTTCTGGTAAATAATAATACATATTTCCAAATAACCGAAGGTCTATTCAAATCTTCCCTAATGTATCTGTATCATGTATCTATGAATTAACTATCAGAAAGTCTATGCAAATCTTGAGCTGTTAGGTAATAGGAAAGCAGAAACAACTGGGCCTAACCTAGTCGACCACCCTTGATTCTCACAAATTCTATTAATAAGGAGGTAAAGGGGTCAATCCTTGTCACCAGATCCCTATCCTTGGGGGTTCTATTGTCCTTTCTTTTGGGCTTCTCTTGACCCTTCTGTGGTACTTTCTCCTCTACTACAGATGCATTATTTGAAGACTTTAATAGTTGATTATTTATTATATATAATGGCGATCCACTGATATACATTAAAAAAAAAAAAGTAATTAGAAAACAGAAACTGACAGTGTTACAAACCTTTCTCTAATCAACTGCTTTTACACAACTTGCAAATAAAATAACTGCTCAAGGTACCAACTAAAAATTAGTTTATGGATTAACAGCATATTCATATTCCAAAGTGGTTGATGTGAACAGTTACCAAATATCCCCAAACATTGTGAATTTTATTCATATTTCAATTCCAGTTCAATCTCCAGGAGAGAATGATGGATATGGGACACCAGATGAAGTGTATTTTAGGCCCATTAGCCCACAACCAAATACAGACATCTGAAATGCCCCAAATACTTGATGCATTCAACCTAACTCCCTTTCTTAATCAAGTCTGCTGAATTCTTTATACCCATTTTTTAACTAAGAACAATTTAAGTCTTCCTTATAGCTGGCATCCATAGTTACCTACTTATTGTTCAAATACATTGACTAGTTCTTTAAACTATGCCCATAAATATAGCATCCACTTACTGTTCCCACTTTGCCAATCATGCCTGACGCGCAAACCAGTTGACTTTCCAACTTGTTTACATAGACTTTATGGACAAATAGGAATAGTAAACCACATTAATGATTTCTCCTTCCTCTCTGTCACACAGAAACACACACAAAAACACACATTTTGCATCAATATAATCATCCACCATATAACAAAAACATGCTCTATTAGTCACGGTTTTGATTGTAAATAGGAAAAAAACATTGCTTAATATCAGCCTAGGCAAATAAGGGTTCTGTGAAAACTAAGACAATAACATTTTGGCAGAAATTTTCCATCCAAGATATGGAGTAGACTTTTGAGCTTTGACATCTACATTTATAAGCAAATAATAATTAATTGCTGAAATAATGCGACATGAAAACACGGAGTAGCCTGGAAAAAGATTAAATGAAGAATCAGTATAATACGACAAGATTTCTCTATCCAAATTACTACCAAATATAAGGGTAATGCTACAATTCAATTTGGTGAAATTATAATAAGAGTTAATTGCACTAGAGGTTCCCAAAGTATGAAGTTTATCTCATTTTGATTTTCAATATTTTAATTGTATCATTTTGGTCCCTGAAGTATTGAATATATTTCTATATGGTCCCTCAAGCAGACAGTGTCTAGATTACTAACGATTTTATCATAAACATGTCACATGATCCTTAACTATGGACAAAAAAATAATTTGAATAACTCTTGACCAAATTTCTGCTAAAATTTTGGTTAAATGCCTATCTAAATTACACAGTTTTGATTATAAGTTATCTAAATTTTGGTCAAAAGTTACTCATATTACACATTTTTTTGTCAAGAGCTATCCAAATTTTATTTAAGAGCTATCAAAATTATTTTTTGTTCATGTTTCATCATTACGTGACAAGTTTGTACTAAAAAATTATTAGCAATCTAGACGTTGTCTTTTTAAAGGATCATATAAAAACATATTTAATACTTCAAGTACTAAAATGATGTAATTGAAACATTAGAGACTCAAATGAGACAAATTTCATACTTTAATGACCTCTAGTGCAATTAGCCCTTATAACAAACAAAGGTTGTTTGAGATTGATCCTAATGTTTTTGGGTTTTTATGATCTACCCTAAAATGTTTTAGGATACCAATGGACCTTTAGTTTAATGACACTCCTTGACTTGTGAAGATTTTGCCGACTTGTGAAGGTTTTGCCTTCTTCAGGGTTCAAGTCCCCCTTCCCTTTCCCCTTCCGCTTCTCCTTCTCCTTCTCCTTTTCCTTCTCCTTCTCCTTCTCCTTCCCCTTCCCCTTCCCCTTCCCCAAAAACAAAAAAAAAACGTTTTAGGTTCAATTCTAACTTTTTGGTCGTGAATTCATTTAGTTGTAAAACAAATCATAACTGAGACTCAAAAAGATGAAACTTTCGATACAATACCTCTAAGTTTTCCTGAATCATTATTCCATTACATGTCAAAGTAAGGTTGTTCTGAGATGATCTCAAAAACTCAATGAACTTACGCAGAACGCCGAGGCAGATATGCGTAAACCAGAATCATACTTGCAAACCATAAAGCAACATAATCATAAGCAGTGAAATTACTTCCAAAACCAAAAAAAAATGCTGTTGTATCCGAAACACAAGAGGAAACAAAATCAGAAGGCGTACCGTGCAAAAGAAAAGACAAGCTTCTCATGGGCATATAATCGAACAGAATAAGTCTCTCCTTACGATTCCAACAATATCCCCTTATCGGAAGCAAATTTTCATGAACCATCCTTCCTAACTCTTCAGCCTTTTCTGCAAATTCTCTATCAGGACAAACAACCCTCAACCTCTTCACCACAACGGCGTCCCTACCCTCCAAATTTGCCTTGTAGCTTTTTCCAAACGTTCCCTTACCCAGAATCTCAGCGTCGGAACTTAGCAACTCATGTAATCCAAAACCAGATACAACATTCCCGAAGAACACCAACCCTTCAGCCTTACTGTTCTCAGTTGAACTCTCTGCCATTTCAGTACCCAAAATTCGACTCTCAAGTTTAGACCTCTCGTTGCAATTCATTTGATCACTGGCTTTATATGGGTTTGTGATGAGTGCCAAGATAAAATATTTTCACACCAAAGGAAGGATTAAGAGGCAAATTCTAATTAAATTGCCCGGAAAATGATCAAAAGATGATACTTGAAGACTTGCCAAGGAACTTCATTTCCAAGTCTGCTCTTCCGCTTAAGTCATCACCTGAACTTTTTTCCTTTTTCGCGATCAGGTTAGACCCAACTCCACTGACATGTATATCCATTAATGCTTTTCATTTTCGTCGTACATAAATTATACACGCCAAAAATTAGATTATTTATAAAAAAAAATATCACTCGTAATCTACACTCAAAAAATAATCAAAATTCAATCTCAAAGTATATAAATTTATAGTCCATTTCTATTACCAACAATCACCTCTCTTACTATCATCACCAAACACTAATCCAATAATTTCACTTACCCAAAAAAAAAAAAAAGCACATACTATAGAATTCTTAGCCTTCCCAACATCAATTGTCGCCTGTCGTGGACAACACGTTCGAATAAAAGTATAACTAGGCCATTTTATGTATATCCTCCCTTTCTATTGCCCAGGTTCAACACGTTAAACCAATAATCAGAAATAACTTGATATGTTCCTAAGTGACAAATTTAATATTACCAACATCACCTCGCTTTCCAACATGTATTTGCGTAATGGTGAGGGTGTTCATACAAGCTCTTAATTAAAATCTAGACCTTAGGTCGAGAAGTATAGGACCGAGATTCCCCATTATGTTTTAAGAATGAGAACTCAAAAAACTGTTTAGGACTACGGGTGATCACAGGATCTAAATTACCTAACCCGAAAAAAATAAGTTCAAAATTTGATACACTTAATAGTTGACTTGCCTAAACTCAATATCTTTCAAGAGAGTTTGGCCCAACTCCAAACTCATTACTCTACCCAAAAAAACCTATTAAACCCTGCCCACCCATCTTCATTTGAGAAAAAGTTAGACACATTAAATTATTCATAAATAAAATTAAAATTATTTATAATTTACTTTTTATATTTATAAAAATATTCATTATTTTTAAATGAATGTGTATATAAAAAACTCATCCAATAGGCTCTCCTAACAAGCACATAGGCCCGCGCCAACTGACCAACCCGTAAGCTCGCCCAATGAGTGACAGGTTAAATTGTGGATAACCTACTCTTATCCAAAACTTGGACCGGCCGGCCGATAAGTCACGTGAATAAGAACGTGGATCCATCCAAACCAGACCCAATTTGAAAACATTTTTGCAAGTAAACCCAAGGACACCCTTATTTAGAACAGAACAATATTGAGGAAGTAAAGTCAAAATTTGCTGAAATTGAGGAACATGAGAGAGAGAGAGAGAGAGAGATGGATGTTGAGTGACATCTTGGAAAATCATTAAGCACTTTAATTGCCCTTTTACTTGATCACAGAAAAAACCAAATGAACCACAAAAGAATAGCTTTAGTCACATATTTAGCTTTCAAACATTAAAACAAACACTTATACAAGAAATAACCAATGCAAATACACATACATGCACGTTTGTACTTAAAAACATCCGCGAGTTGCAATCCCACAAGACGATACTAACAATCTACCATTTTTCACACTGGAGTAACACTGCATCAGAAAATAACATCCCAGTACAAATTTTCATTGTTTAGTCCAACTATAGATCTTCAGGCACATTAAAAACAAAACATATCCACAAAATTTAAATGAAAATTAAGGTGTTTACGGGTGTTTCCCAGATGAAGCTTTCTCCTTCACCATCTTTTCGAACAGGCTTCCATCATAAACGGCCCTGATCGTATCTTTCTGGAGCAAACCATTCTTGTCCTTGCAAAGAACATATAAAATCTTCCACTCTGTGTAGGCTGCAAGCCTGCTCATTCGAAAATTCTTACCTTGTTAATTAACCTCAAAGGAAAATCAAAACCCTATTAAATGGTACAGTTTCGAATTCAAAAATAACATACCATCCACCAAAGTCCTTGGGAACCCTGTTTGCCTTGAGCATTCCCATTAATTCATCTGATGTTAAAGCATCAGAATTGTTGTGTGCATGCTTGCTGAAAATCTCTTCAAACTTAGAAGGAACAAACCTTCATAAACAATTAGTGAAAAATAAAATTGAAGTCCAAATAAAGGGCGCCAAGTATCTTTAAAAAGCTTTAGTACAACCTCAGAATAACCAGAATTATTGCCACCCATGGTAACAAAATCCCACATACTAGACTCAACAAATCAGCCTAACCACATTGATTCAGGTTGACAATTCCTAAATTGCATAGGCAGTAGCAAGTCGACTTGAGTTGGCTTTAGATAGACAAATGGGAAGCTTGGCAGATATATGTCCCATATCAACCTCAACTCAAAGCCTCAAAGTATGAATAGGTTGGAGAGATTTGGTTCTTGCATTATGAAAAAGACATAGTAGGCTTGGTTCCCATATATATGCTTTGGACTCTTCATCCCAGATTTGTTGGCCAAGGGCCCCTACATCACAAGCAAATGATTGATCATAACTAGGCAAATTACACAGCAAGGGCCAACAAACACATTGGCCCTTGTTTATCCGATACATATGAAGGTTGCATCGGCACTGAACAAAACTATTTTTGTAATTGCCCAAGTCAACCCTCTAGAAACAAAAGGTTACACTCTGTCAAATGTTGAAACATGTCCACTGAAGTCAAATCCACTAAGAAATTTTACTTAAGTACATATAACATTAAATCAAATCTATTTCTTGGGTCATGCACAGATAAAATAGTTTATCATCTAATGCTAATCTGCTGTTTGACACTTCTTTTATATTGTTGGCACTTGTGACATTATTATGTAGTCAAATCAAACATACTACGCAATGAAACAGATTACTGAGCCCAATATCCAGAGAACAGAGTAAGGCCATGGCAAGAAAAAATGTTAGCATTAAAAGAATTTATTTTCCAATCCCCAACCAGTGGTATACGCCCTCCCCTCTGCACGGATTTGGTTTGTATAGACAAAGAAACATAGAAAAAGAAAAAAATGAATGCACCAGACATACCTTCCTTCTGTGTCATAGACACCAGAGTCACTTCCATGCTTGGCCTTCTGGATGTTTTTAACTTCTATGGGGAAGAGTAGAGAAGGGAATTTTCCCTGCAGCATTCAAAGGAAATGTGGCATCCATTAGTTACCTACATTGTAAACACAAAAAGCCTTCCCAGCAGTCTATATTTCAAAAAGCTAAAGCCATCAAGCAATCATTTTAATTTGAAAAATAAAAGCCTTACAGATCTTATTTCATCATGAAACATCAAGAACTCATTTCAATTGGTTGCATACTTTTGGCCAATTTTTTCCTTTAATTTTGGCCATTCTGTTGTAATTGGAATTAAATATACTCTTAGCAGGGTTCTTCTAGTGACAAAAGAAGAATAAAACGATGATTAATAAATTAAAACATACACGAGTAGGAAAGTTTAGAAATAACAGAAGGATCAAAAAAAATTAGACATTCTCTCCATCCCCTAAGGAAGTATCCCCTCCCCCATTCCCACCACCACTTCACTCACCTAAACACATTCACTTCACCAAAGAAAAATAAAAATGGAAAAAAGGAAAGGAAAAAGCTGAATAAAACGAAGTCACATAGGCACCAAAAACTCTAGGAAGGTATGAAGGCGAATTATCTCAATCCAACATTAATACTATCAAATAAAAATAGTTCATCTTAATTAGCAAGCTGGTTGTTGTATTCTGCATCCATAATTAATAGGGTCCTCGTATTTTTTGGTGCAGACAACAATGCTAATGGACAACCACCTATGGCAAGAATGAAGAGAATATTTCACTCTGCAAAATGCATGAGTGACTAAATAGACAGATCATTTCATGCCATGGAATTCAACCTCCAAGTCCACCTCAACCCAACAACCATGTGCCCTTTGTACCTCAACCCATATTCCAATCGAAAGTGAAAAAAATTATTCCAATTAGAGCTAAGAATTTTTTTCTTTGGAAAGTAAAAAATTTTGTTAATCTGAAACATACAGATATTCCAATATATTAAACATAAAAATTTTGTTAATCCGAAACAAAACTTAAGTTGTTGGAGAGGGTGTAACTTAAGTATGTAAACTTCAACACATCCCCTCACTTGTAGGCTAGGCTAGATTTTAGACCTAGCACGTTGAAATTATCTTTTAATAATTAAGAATGGCGCATGAGATTTGAACACAGAACATCTTGCTCTAATACCATGTTAAACAACCATCTACTTCAAAAACTTAAGCTGGGGGTAACTTAAGTATTTATAGTTTTATACTTCAACACAATACAACTCAAATGAAAAAACCAAACTACAAGAATATGGTATTTTCCCTTTAACTCCGATTGTGGTTTATTGGAGATTACACTGATTCTCCTTTTGCTGCTCAACTAGCTCAATCCGACCTAACTTTGACCTTTTTTTATCATTGGTCAATGAAAATCCTTAGATACTTAGCCCTATCCTTTGGGGCCAAGCACAGAAATTATCTCGGTCAAGCATAAGACCAACAGTAGGATATAAACCCACTCTCCAATTTCCCACCACAACTAATCTAGACTTCAGGCAATTGAGCCAAGAACATTTGATGTAGACCAAGTCTACATCAATCTTAGTTACTAACTGTCCATATACTTAACCTTTTCAAGGCTCAAGCCAAAGTTAACCATACAATGAACTATTTACCCAAAAAAAACCATATATTGAACCAACAAATTGTTTTATAACACATATAACAAGAAAACGAAAGTGTGGAGAACACATGCACACCAAGGATGCAGATCCCTCTAGTACCAATCATCCACCGCGTATTGGTAATAGAGGGATGAAAGAAAAGCTGATGAGAGAGAGAGAGAGAGAGAGAGAGAGAGAGAGAGAGAGAGAGATTACAGGTCTAGTTTTGCCACTGAGACCAACGTTGATGAAAAGGGCAGCAAAGGTAGATAAGGGAATGCCACAACCAATTGCACGAAAACCTTATTACAAACACACACACAAAAAAAAAAAAAACCAATAAACCCTATAAGAATCCCCTAAAAAAATCCAAGAAATAAAGTTCATTTCAACCAAGAAACAAGTTTTCAAGAGAGAGACCTTTAAATGTTTCCGAAGGATAAACAATTCCGTCATTGTTCCGATCGAAGAACATAACATGTTTCTGGAGGACGTTTTGTTCAGTATCTACTTCTGCATGCAACAATTTTCCATACCCATATGAAATAACTTCTCAAGAACAGTATCAATTCTCACATACATATATATATATATATATATAAACCACAAAAATTCTGAGAAAGAGAAGTCGCATACCCTCATACTGAATGCTGTTTTCAGATGAACCCATGGCTACGCCTTGTATGCCAAAAATGGATATAGAGAGTAGCGAGAGAAAATGGAGGAGTAAAGTTAAAGTATGGGGTACTTGAAGTGATTTGAAAGGATTGAAAGTTCAGGTTGCGTTACTACTTTTGTGCGTGTTAGATTCTCACGGTTTTGTTTTGTTTAGTGACGCTTGTTCATTGTGCATATATACGGCGAATTTGTTTGTGTGCGCGAGCGGTAACGTCATTCATAGTTTTCTTTTTCTTTTAGGATAAAATACATGTTTAGCCCCTAAAGTATATATATAGTGTCTATTTAGTCTCTAGTTTTCAATCGTGTCTATTTAATCTCCAAAATTCTGAATTTGTGTCTATTTGGTCAACCACGTAATTAGCTCATGACCAGAACCATCAGGATTTTTTGACGGATGTGTGGTCTAGGAACTTTAGAGACCAAATAGACACAAAATTAAGAATCACGTGATTGACGCGTGACCAAATAGACACAATTAAAAATTTGAACCACTTAGACACAAATTAAGAACCTTACAGACAAAATAGACACAATTGAAAGATTGGAGATTAAATAGACACTTAACACATGCTTTGAAGACTAAAAATATATTTTACCTTTCTTTTAAGTTACATATAGATCACCCAGTCCTATATTCATTGTATCTCATTGCACCCTAAATTATTTAGTTTTTACACAAATTTTACACTTGATTTGAGTTTCACATTGTCTCAATCGTGAACTTTTTGTCCGACTTTTAATGGCAAATTAAGGAAACATAGAATTTTACTCCACTTAGGAGAAAAATACCACATCTCTTAACATAGTGAGATTCTATTTTTGGCTTAATTTGTTATGAAAAATTGGAGAAAAGTCGACAATGGGAGCAATGTAAAACTCAAACAAATAGTTTAATGTACAATATGATAAAACAGAATGCTATCAACAATCAAAAGAAAGTCAACAACCGAGACTATATGAAACTCAAACCAATAACTTAGGATATAATATTAGAAAGTCGATAATTTAGAGAACAAATATGGAACAAACAAACATAGTTTAAAAGGTCTAATTATAATTTACCCTATTCTTTTTCTTTTTGAATAACAAAATTAAAATTTGCAATTCAAAGTCTGATATTATATCAAAAATTATTTAAAAACAAGAGGGAAATTCTAATTTAATTTTGTAAAAATGGGGTAATATGGGCTTGCAATTTGACTACTAATCAATCCCAATTTTCTTTTGAGCCTCAATTTAATTTCATTTATAGTAATTAACTTGTTGGATATAACTTAATTTAAAATAAGTTGTAATTAATTTTTATCTAATTATAAAATTAATGCATATCAAAGTCGGCATCATAGTCATACCACTACTAGCACGAAGTATCACCAGAAGTCCACAGATAACGACATCTAATAATGGAGTACCAGAATTCTGACTTTACATGGGGTCCAGGAAGGTTTTCCAGATGAGTAATACTACACTGATCAAATTTTGAGATTAAATTTAGAGTCCAAAAATTTGAATATTTTCCTAAACATGACTTCACTCATATAATGAGGAATTATACGAGTTTTATTAATGTAAGTTGGACCCTTCCAGATAACATATATTCGTTAATTATAATCTCTTACTTCAAGAAAATATCCTTTGAATCTAACGAAAAATTATCACACGTTACCATTTACACTACAAGGTTATTTTATTCTTAATGGCGACTGAACCTAAGTTAATTGCCTAGGCTGCTCTACATACCCGTTATTGATATCAAACTAATTCATAGTTCAGGGAGATTAAATTTTTTTTTTGAGTAAGATCAACGGGTAAATGACTCATTGATCTTGAATGGATAGATATCCATCATATTGTGTCTAGTTTGACTATACTACCTATGTATCTGAAAGGAAATCAAGTTAGTCTTAGTTTTTGAGGTAGAAATTATAATTTATTTAAAGTTGATTTGGACTTGCGATTGCACCTAGTTTAACTAGACTGCCTAAATATCTGAAAGAGAATCAAGTCAATCGTAGTTCATGAGATATAAATTAGAATTTATTTGAAGTTAATTTGGACTTACGACTGCACCTAGTTTAACTAAACTGCCTATGTATCCGAAAGGGAATCAAGTCGGACGTAGTTCACAAGGTAGAATTTAGAATTTATTTGAAGTTAATTTAGACTTGCGATTGTGCTTAGTTTAACTAGACTGTCTACGCATCCGAAAGTGAATTAAGCCAATTGTAGTTATTTGATTTTAGGAATTTAATTGGAGGTGATTTTAACTTGTGACTGTACGTAGTGTATATGTTGTACTGCTAGTGTATCCCTAAAAAAGAATGGAATCAAGTCTCACATAGTTCATGATAAGAATTTAGAATTTATTTAGGAGTGTGACTGCGTCCAGTGTAGATGCTAGACTGCCAACGTATCTAACAAGTAGAATCAAGTCTGACGTAAATGACCCATTATTTTGAATTTGAGTGGAATTTTAAATAAGTGAACGAACCATTTAAGTTAGAATTTTATTTGAGTTGAGTTGAAATGGGTAAATGACCCATTATTTTTTGTAACGAGAATTTAGAGTTGATTGAATTTAGGGATTCACTTAAACTTTTGAATGACGGTGAAATTTAATTCCAGTGAGGTTAGTGATCTCGCGTGAATTAGAAACTCCAAAAAGTTATTAAGAATTCACAGCTCTCTTCATATACATCAAAGAGTTAGAAACTTAAAAAATTTATTAAGAGTCCAAGACTCTTTTCATAAACATGAGTTTAAAACTCTAAAAATTGGTAGAGTTAGAAACTCCAAAAATTTATTAAGGGTTCAAGACTTTTTCATAAGCATCATTGAGTGAGTTTAAAAATCTAAAATTAGTAAAGAGTTAGAAACTAACTCTTTTATTTAATATTTGTGCCATTTAATTTGTAGGAGTTTAAAACCCCAAAAAAAGTCAAAGACTTTTTGTTTCGATTTTCATGCAATTTTGGAGGGCCTGAGGCTTTGTGTTGTTATGCAATATGATAGGAGTTAAAAACTCCAAGATACTTGTCCAGAGTCTAAGACTCTTGACTTTTGCCGAAAATGGGCCGAAGGCTCTCACTACCCCAGTAGAAAATCTGTTTTCTTGCAACTCCTTTTTGTATAGCCATTTCTTTCTTTTTCTTACACACTTCAAGTGCACGATCTTTAGATCATAAAGCAGCTGGGAGGTACTAAACCGAGCAGAAAAGAAGTATTTTAGCAGTGAGCGTTAGAGAAAGTTCGGAACAAACCAAATGGGGAGGTGAGAGGGAGTTTAAAACTCCGCTAAAGTCGAAGATTAAAATTTTTATAAAACTAGTAGATAAACTTCAGACAGTTTGTTACGGAGTCAAAGACTCCATATTCGTTCTTTAAGAGTTAGAAACTCTTGCCTATGGTATTAGCAAAACCAGAACCAAAATAGGAGTTGGAAACCTCCTTTCAAAAGAACTGGTAGACTTCGGCGAAAGGCATCAAAATTAAAATTAAAATATAGTCCCAAGACTCTTTTTGACAATTTTTGGGAAATTTAATGTAGCAGAATTTTGCACGCTCTTCCGATTTGGCCCTTAATTTTTCTTAAGGAGTCAAAGACTCCAAATTTATTTTCAAGAGTTAGAAACTCTTTCATAAGACTCCTTTGAATGGAAATGGAAACTCCACTAAAAGAGTCTAAAAACTCTTGAGAGGGGAGTTGGAAACACCATTTAAAGGAAATGGTCGTCTTCGACAGAAGGCATCGGAATTAAAAGAGTGCTGCAAGACTCTTGCTGATTCTGAAACACTTTTGTCTATACACCGCAACGGAGGAATTGGAAGACGCCCAATGAGCAATGCTAAAGTGGACAGAAAACAAGCATTTTCGCGTTGGCGCAATGGTTCCGAAAGAGTCGAAAACTCTTATTGAGCGACAACATGGTCTCCAAGGAGCCAAATACTCCAATATGTGGATGTTTTTCTTGGGTATTGCAGCAAAATCTGGAGGAATTATGAACTCCTTTGGTCTTTCATTTGAAGAGAACTCTACTGCCACTCTCAGAAACACTTGGTGGTAGTTGCAATGCAATGCTTCGAAGTAGTTAAAAACTCCTATAATCTGCAACTTCGGAGAGATTCGGTATAGCCGCAATTGCTTCAGATTGTTGTGGTTTTGAACCCATTCACTACAATCAAAGATTTAAGAGATTCAATCCAAGAGTAGGGAAAGAAATTAGAGTTTATACTTGCAGAATTGCTTCAAATTTTTTTTTTTTTGCCTTCGACAACCACTTTGTTCTTCAAACTTTTTTCTTCTTCCTTCTTTTTTTTTTTTTGCTTTGTGAACTGTCTAAACTCTCCTCTTCAGATCTCTCCTTTTTCTCCTCTCCCCTCCTGGTATTTATAGAAAATTTTCTAGAAACTGCCACTTTAGTGGGCTGCGAAGCTACTTCACACGATGCCCAATTTGTGCACTCCATTTTACCATTTATAGAGGATTTTTTGTTTGCACGTAGGGGCAGCTGGCTTTCCTTCAACATGCTAGCAACTAGCATTTCCTCCATTAGTAACCAATTCTTAGTTAGTGGGTTTTTCACATTTATTTGCTAAAGGAATTGCCTTTTTTATAATCGTCAGCCCTTTACCTTTGTAAAAGATCTCTCGGGCCTTTCTGTTTTCTTATTTTTAGCATGTGGGGTAGCTGGTCATTGTTTAAACTTCCAGCACACAAGTCCATTTTTTTTTTTAGATGTGTATAATGGTATAACTACATTTCAGGGATAGTAATTAGACCCATGTCTTTGGTCTAGTTAACTAACTCTAAAATTAATCGTGGCTATACGTAAAATTTTGTAATATAACGAATTTGCTCGGGACCTGGGTTATGAACCTAACTCAAAAATTTTCATTGAACAACAGATTTATTTATTTTTACTGTTTAACACTTACGTTTCCAAAAAATGCCCTTCAAATGTGGTCATGTGAAATGCACCGAATCATCTTCATTAGTCAATTTGAACTATTGTTTTCGATTGAACCAGAATGGCACAAATTAAATGCTTGAGGAACTAAATTGAACTATTGAGAATCAAAATGACACAAACCACATAATTTGGAGAACAAAAATAA